TCTCTCCTAGGAAATCGCCTCTCATGCGAACGGCCTTGGTACCCGAGCGCGGGCCACCACCTGTGGAGAACCTAAGCTTTTCCGGAGCATCGGCGAAATGCGAGTGCACTTCCGCAGGCAAATCCCTTTTTGCGATTAGGTTTCTACCTGCGCCACTATCGACAAGAAACTCCATGTCAAAAGTAGTTCCATCACTACCCACAACAGGACTAGACGATGCATTGATTGAAGAACATGGGTTCAACATTGCCATGGCCGTCACCACTGTTGTGAAAACCTTCTGCAAGACACCACCTTTGAAAGCGGTATTCCTACTTAGGCTTCGACGTGCTCGGTCCAGCTGCTTTCGGATTGATGCTTTCAGTTGCGGCTGGGGTCTAGGCAACTCATCTTGCATCTTCCGGTCCTTTGCTGGGCTACCTTTCCCATCTTGGGCAGCGTGGCCTCTGTCTGGGATGGATGCCTCTGCGGCTGGGATGGCTGATGCAAAAGCCGCCCCTGCTAGAACTGAAGCAGCTCCGGCTGACGAACCTTTAAGCTTTCTTGGCTTTGGGCCTTTGTACATGTTGTCTTTGTCGTGGCTGTACTCACACTTATCACCAGCAGTGCACGCGTCATAGGCAAAGTACATGCAAGGCAGTTTCGCTTTCTCATCCTTTGTTTTGGGAGTTCGTGGCGACTTGCCTCTGCCTTTTCCTTTACCCTTCGGCGGGGCTGCAGCGGCGGCTGCTTCTGCTTCCTCCTGAGCCTGTTTCTCCGCTTTCTTCTTCTCCTTTTTGGCCTTTTCCTTTTCCTTCTTCTTCTCCTTCTGCTCCTTTTCCTTTTTGTCTTTCTCTTCTTTATCCCTTCTCTCCTTCTCCTTTTCCTTCTTGGTTCTTGCTCCTTCGCCTTCCGCCTTTGGTGCCGGGTTGGCATTTGCATGCCCTTTTGGTCGCAATGCTTTATCAATGGCGTCTGCGTTGTCTTCGAGCTGGCTGATTTCAATGACATCGCACATCTTAGCATACAACCATTTCCAAGTTCTTTTACTGGACTGCGAGGATGCATTGCGGAAGCGATCAATGTGAAGATGCATCTTTGGGTGAGCCTTCAGCTGTTCAAACAACAATGAGCGAATGCTTGCCTCAGTGGGCCTTTCAGGGATCTCTAGGGCCTCCCATATGTAGTTGAACCGCTGGCGAAACTCCTCAAGTGCTTTGACATCATTGCCATGAACGACTAGGGAAAGGAGGTGATGCTGCGTTAACGCCGTACCTTTATCTTTATCCATCTTGAACCTTTGGAACACGTGCCACAACAGCAATCTACCCTTGGGTTGTTTGCCAATCTTTTGGGCGCCTTCCTGGAGCGCTTGGAAGTCCAGGCTAAAGCGGGTTCCTTTGCAAAGTTCAAGCAGCCTATGGCCCAGAATACGGTCAAGCAGCGGGAAACTTCCAGAATTTGCGAAGTCATGCTGATCATGGGAACTTTGGGTCAAACTGATCCACGCTAAAATCTTGGATTCATCCCCTTTGGCAAGCTTGGTGATGGCACTGAAGACTGCGTTGCGAAAACCCCTGGCTTCTGCAGCATTCTTAGGGATCGCTGGAATCTTCAAGGTATCATAACCCTTTACCCTCATCAGCTTCTTTTCTTTCTTGTAAGGGTCCATTTCCGAATCCGAAGATGAACTGCTGGACGAGCTACTTGATTCAATCCCTTTATCGTCATCCCTTCCACCGTCGCCCCTTTTGTCATCGCTATCACTACTGTTGCTAGAGCTCGATGATCCAGGATCCCCACCGATCAAATCCAATGAACCACTTCCCCTTGACCTTTGGCTAGTACCCTTAGCCTTTCCTGCTCGCGCACCGGTGGGAGACAGGGCTGCAAGGCCTCCGCTCCCACCTGTCGCAGAAAGCGACTGTAATGCTGAGCTCAAGGATTGAACTTGCTGGGTCAAGGTTTGCAGTTGAAGTTGCACTTGGGGATCCGTACGGCCTGGTGGCGTGTAGATAGGGATGGCATGCTCTTCGGGGATATTTGGGAATTGCAACTTAGGTACCTGAAACTCGGAACCCAAACCCAGAACAAAATGCTCTGAAGGAGACCTTGTTGATCTATCCTCGGGCTTGTTGGTGTTCCTTTTGGGGGAGGCACCTGTTGCTTGCTCGGACTTTCGTTCGCTAGGATTGGTGATCCGAGCTGGGTCCGCGCCATTATCAGTCTCAATCTTGTTGGCTTCCACTGTTCTCCTTTGGCCTCCAAGTTCTGCGATCTTCCTTTCTAGCTCTTGTTTAGCTTCGAGGAATTCCTGCTCCAATTCTTGAACCCTACGGTTAGCGGCTTCTTGTATTCTTTGAATTTCATCTTGAGCCTGTGCGACTACCAACCTTTGATGTTGATCCCTTTGCCTTATAGCCTCCTCTGCTTGTTGCCTAGCGCGGTCTATCTCTAGGGCTGCTTGGCCTCTGGCTTGGGCTACCTCTTGGGCTGCTTGGCCTGCGATGCTTTCGGCCTGGCCTCTAACCTGCACGACTTCTTGGGAAGCTTGTTGTACTAGGCCTTCGGCTTGGCCCCTTGTTTGGATGACTTCTAGCCTGGCTTGCTCAAGGGCTTGATTGGCTTGGGCTGTTACATTTGCGGTTTCTTGTCGGGCAGCAAGGGCCTCTGAAACCAAGATGGGATCAGTAGTCACATTCAAAACCTGGGTGTGGTGCAGGGCAGCTTGGTTGAGCACAAAGGTGTTAGAACCCTCCGAACCTCCAAAACCCGGAACAGAACCCGAGGCTGTACTCGAGCTTTGGGGCAGCGGGGCCACAACTGCTCGGGACATGGTTTGAGTGGACGGTGGGCTTGCCGAATCAGTGCTAGGAGAAGCTAAGAAGCTACTGAGGTGCTGAGGTGAGGCTTGCATGGAATCAGGGTTCAGCCTCACGGTTGATGCAGGAACCACAGCTCCCGAAACCGAACCTCCGGATGAGCTGCTATCCACTGTATCCCCACCTCTGCTTGATCTGCTACGTGCCTCAAAATCTGACATTCTTCACTGAAGTCCCTTCAATAATCTTGATTTCGGAGCTCTGTGATCTGCGAGCCGGCTTCGGACAATCCCGTGCACCAGGACAACGAATCAGGTCCGTACTCCCTGCCGCGCACCCACACGTGAAGAGGACGTCCACCTTGATCAGCAACTTCTTGAAGCACCTCCAAATTGTCGTCAATGACGACCCAGTCGGATACGTTCCCGCTTAGGGCACGCAAGAATGAAGCTTTACCAGTTGGTCCCACCTTCCGCGGAGTTGTCGCGACCAAATGAAGAATCGGATGCAAAGTTGATGTGCGTCGGATCGTATCCAATAAGTTCGCCTTCAGCTGAGCCGATTCGACCTGAGAGACAATGATTATCTTGTCGCCCGGATGCTCCGCCTGAGCCGCACAAAGAACCTCAATGTTGCGTCCGTGGATCAAATCGCCTGGTCGCAAGCGCCTGTTCTGGAAACAGTTCAAGACCCAATTGTAGTCGACAGCAATGTGGCGCCCAGAAGGTCTTCCAAGCTTTTGAATACCACTCGATGCCAAAACAAAATCCTGTTGATACCGATTCCAAAAGTAGACTTCAAACTCGTCCCTTATGTCGGCAAAGACTGGACGCAAAGGCTGCGGCGGAGGAACCAATCGCCTAATCTTCGGAGCAGGGGCAAATGCTTCCACTTCCTCCTCGGATGGTTCAGGTTCGCGCTGCAATGGTCGCGAGGAGCTCGCCGAAAAAGACTCAGCACCTGCCGCGTCCGCTGATGGCTCCTGTAGACCGTGGCTGGCCAATATTTCAGATGCCCTGCTTGCAACGATCCCCAACTCAGAGATCAAAAAGTCCTTGTAAGAGATCTCGTTATTGTCTACCCGTCTTTGAACCCCGATCGACCACTTTTGCAATTGCTCGATTCCTCGTTGACCACCGCGCTTCACCGCTTTCACCTCCTTCAAAGAATCAAAGATCAAGCGGTGTACCCCGGCAGGGCAGTGCGAAGTAATGTTTGCAATGTGGTCTGCTCTCCGTCGCAGAGAAAAGGACGAAGACGTTGTCAAGATACAATGCTGCAATAAACGCCGAGAAGGGGCAACGCTCAAACTGTTTCCAACCAAATCGCAGACCAACAAAGTCGGGAGCAATAAAGTGGATACAATAAAAGCAAAGGTCCAATGAAGAAGCACGTAGCTCGCCCTCGGCAGAGACTACGGCTGATAACCAAAAGAATGGCAATCAAATCGCGGTCGCACCTTTTTTACTCTAAGGGCGGCGCTTGAGCCAAAGTCGTCAGTATACAGCTCGTGTTGAACTGCCTAACTTCAGATGCATATGACGTCCTGTACATGTCATGCGTGGAGTGTGCACATGAAGATGCGTGAGCCTTCTCCATCTGCGGGCAGCAAGGCCTCATTGCAGATGGAGATACCTGACCAAGTCAAAGCTAAAGTACAGATTTGCTCGTATATCTTCTACTTCATATACCTATATTATGAATATTATTCAACTATTACTGAGTGGGGGCCGTGCCTAATATATTCATATTGTTTCCTTGTTTCAGGGGTCCTGCAGTCTCTGAGTGCAGTGGCTCGGAGCCCTCGACTCCGAGGGCTTCTGCTTAAGGGTGGAGCGTGACAAAAGGGTGTGTTAGGGCTAAGGGTTAAGGGTTTAGGGTTCAGGGTTTAGGGTTTTTTTTGAACGCCTTTTTCAGGGTTTAGGGTTTAGGGTTCGGGGTTTAGAGTTTAGGGTTTAGTTTCGAGTCTAGGTCCCCCCAGTAGCCCCTTAATGCTGAGGGTACCCTTGTTCCTAGCATTTTTTGTTCAAATTTAGGAGACTCCACCACAGGGGAACCGAGGTTTTTAATGGTAGAATGTGATGAGGGGACCTTGAAGATTAGAATAGAGCTTTGGGTTTGGAGTTTTAGGTTAGGGTTTTAGCAGGTTTAGGGAGTTAGGGTTTAGGGTTCTTACAAACATTGGTGCAGCTGTGACGCCTGGAATCGCCGAAGTTGCTGGCCTCACGCTCGCATCATTCGGTTTTTTGGGTTTCGGGCCCGGAGACCTAAACCCCCAACCCCAAACCCTAACCCTAAACCGTCTAGGGAGCTGCAAGATTTCCGCTATCAATCGCAGCACTTAGTAGCTAGTTACAACTACCTCTAACTCCAATGAAGATACTTACCCTAAGCCCCAATCCCTCAACCTCTGTCGATCCCTTACAGATCCCTTTATGGAACCCTTCAAAGAACCCTTTCATCCCATGATCCAAGTGCAGGTCGAGCTGCGCCGCGCTTTCGGCGACCCCGAGCTGATGTGGCACCGTATGGGTTGCCATAGGGGTTGCCATAGGCGTTCCTGGCTTGTTCTTGGGGTTTGGAGTTTAGGGGGCTTAGGGGCTTAGGGGTTTAGGGTGTAGGGTTTAGGGGTTTAGGGGTTCAGAGTTTAGGGGGTTAGGGAGCTGATATGGGCAGTTGTCAGAATTAGGGTCCCTTTTTGGGTACCCTAAATATGAGGTGCCGCATTATAAGAAGGACCCAAAAAGGGACCCTAATTTTGACAACCACCCATATAGAGGTGGCCTTAATGCCTAGACTAGGGTTCCTTTAAGGGTTCCATTGAGGTCCTCTGAGAGTATCGGGGCCTTATTAAATCGGGTTCCCTTCGAATTCGGGTTCCATCAAGGTTCCAAAGAGTATGAAGGCTTGAACGCCTAGAATGGAACAATGTTGTTACTTATTTGGGAGTTTCCGGAAATGGGGGACCCTAATATAGTACCCTAAATAGTAGGATCCTTATTATAAGGACCCCACAATAAGGTACCCCTAATTTTCGGAAACTCCCATTTCCTTACCGACGCCCGGCGTCGGCTGTGACAGACTTGCCAGGAGCCTCTCCGGGTGTATCAAAGGGGAAAAGGAGGGACCCTTAGGCTCTTAGGGTTCCTTTAAAGGGATCTATAAGGGTCCCTTTAAAGGGATCTATAAGGGTCCCTTTAAAGGGGTCTATAAGGGTCCCTTTAAAGGGATCTATAGGGTTTAGGGTTTAGTTTAGTCAAAGGGGAAAAGGAGGGACCCTTAATGGGGACCCCTACCATGTAATTGTAATGGGCTATATAATGGGTATATAATAGCTATGTTACAAGGGTATATACCTAGGGGTCCTTATTAAGGGTCCCTCCTTTTACCCTTGAAGAGCATTCGGAAACTTCGACTTCACTACGCGGCTGCGATGGCATCATACAAACAGCAGCTCAGGTACTTTTACTCCAGGCCCAACCTCACGAAAGCTCACCCTCCGCCCTTTTCAAGCTCTACTAGGATGCCCAGTAACCTAGGAATACAAAGGGCTCCCTTTTTGGTATTGGGTACCTTAATAAGGAATCTAGAACTACAAAAAGGGAATAAGGGTACTACTGGGCATCCTAGTCTCGGTGCAGAGTTCTTCTAAGACTACAGTCTGCAGCTACATGATATTGGCCATGGTGCTCTGGGCGCTGACGCCGTGCCGATTGTGATCGGGTGGTTCGACTCGAGGCAGCAGACCTTTCACATGCAAATCGTGGAAAAACTGCAAAAAAATCTCTTTCATCGTCAAGCCCGAAAGCCTACACCAGACACTCTAAACTCTAAACCCGAACTCCCTAAACCATAAACCCGAAAAGGCTAAAAATCAATCTCCCCTGCGTACTTCTTCTGGGCAAGCGGCGCCGAGTTCTGCATGCCGGGTCTTCGAACGGGGCGGCCTGGCACTTGGACACGAAACCCGAAAACCCTAAGGTTTTCAAAGCGTTCAATTCTTAAGGCTTTCGGCTGTTGTGGTTCTGCGGCAAAAAGTTTAAAAGGTTTAGGATGCTGCAGTTCAGGGTTTAGGCTTGGAAGATCATGGGGGGCTTGGTAAAGCGGCTAAGCCTAAGCGGCAAAAACAACTCTGGGTTTAGGGTTTAGGGGTTACTATACTGAACTTAGAACCCCAGCAAACAAATATAATTTTAGCTGTTTCTTAGGGATTATAATAACCAAAAATTAACAATGATTTCTAAGTACCCTAAGGTTTAGGGTTTAGGGCTTCCCTGAGCCGTTAAGAAGCCCAAATCCCTCGCCCCTAAAACCAAAAGCCCTCAAACCCCAACTCAGAACCTCCAAAACCCCTTGATTAAGGAATATACCTTAAATCATATGAGGGATCCTGTTATAATTTAGGGTATATTCCTTAATTCAGGGGTTTTGGAGGCTCTGGGAATCTCAAGCCCAAGCCACCCTTGAAGCCCATACAAACCCAGAACCCCATTCAAGCCCAAAGACGCCATAATGCGCATGCCCAAGTCCCATGCAAGTAAGTCCTAGAGTCCGAATACTGCCTCGACTAAGTAACAGCTGGACAGTTCAATATAGTTCAATAGAGGTATACCTGTCCATAACTAATACCCCTCGTTATAGACTCTTACTGTATGGGCCCTAAAGCCCAAACCCTGGACCCAACCTTGAGCTGCTAACCCAAATGCTCGCCTCCTGCAACCGGCTTCTCCGCACTGGGAGGCCGAGGGGGACGCGGCCTGGGTTCGGCTAAGAGAACTCGAAAAACTCCAACCTGAACCCTATAAAGCCTTCCTTTTGCAGGTTCCCCATTATGATTTCCTGAACCCTTAAAAAGGTAAGTTATTTGGGGCTAAGGAATTGAACACGACCTTACAAGAATCCTACAACCCCTCTGCAAAGTCTACATCGAAAACTTCCGAAAGTTTCGATTCAATAAACCTTAAGTGAAGCTCTTTTCATGTCACTTCAAGCACTCAACCCGAAGACCCTTGAACCCTCTAACCCTTCAAGAACGAAAGCCTTGAAGCCTGAAAGCAGTCAACCGTAAACCCTCAAACCCTGAAGCCCGTATAGGAACCCTTGAAGGGACCCGACATTCACACAAACCTTATCCCTGAAGCCTTGAGCCCGAAACCAAACCTAAAGCCCGTACCGGGAAGGTTCTTGTCAAGGACTTTAGTTCAAGTTACCAGAATAGGGATCTATAAGGACCCCTTTAGTGATCTATACGGGTTCCTTCAAGGATCTATAGTTAATAATAATGTGGTTTCTTGGATATGGTAACTTGAATACTTAAATCCCTTAACAAAAACCAGGGTAAACCCAGTACAGTAGAAGCCAGAAAGTTGGAATATCATTATCGTAACCCCTTTAAATAGGTAAATTATAGGGGATCCTACCATGAAACCATATTCCAACTTTCTGGAGTTCCCTGTAAAGCCTTAAACCCAGCGGCGGCATAATCAGCGGCTCTAGCTTCTGGCTCCGCCACTGGGCCACGGGCCTGAGAGGACCAGAAAAAATCGCAGAAAGTTTAGGGTTTAGGGTAAAACGCGCAGAAGGACAGAGACCTTAAGGATTTGGAGGCGCTTAAAATAAGTTCTTGCAAGGCTTTACATTGTTCATGGGCTTTTTGTTCGGTTACTGCTGCTTTTGCTGTTGCTGCTGCCATTCCTCTCTGCTCCTACTCCTCCTCTTACTATTTCTACTCCTACTCCTACTCCTACTCTCACTCCTACTGCTACTGTTTCTACTCCTACTCCTGCTCCTACTCCCACTTGAAACAACTTCTACTTCCACTTCTACTGCCCTGACTGTGACCCTAAACCCTAAACCCTACTTGGAGGATCATGGGACTTAGTAACTAGGGTTCAAAATAAGGTAACTATACTTATAACTCCAATTAGGTTACTTATAACCTTACTTACTACAAGTAAGTCCCGTGATCCCCCAAGTAATGACTGCTGCCCCCATCTGAACCGAGTCGCACCACAGGAGGGGGCTCGATGACATAGCGGCCCGGAGAGCGGGAGCCCCGTGAACTTCCACGGCCTCGGGAGGAGGGGATTTGGGGCTTTGGGTCTGAAGGTTTGGGGGGGCTCCTTTCTGGGCTCTATAGGGGTTACTAGGGGCCTATGGGGGTTCAGGGTTTAGGTTTGTTCAGGGCTCAGGTTCGGTTTAGGGCTTAGGTGTGAAGGTTTAGGGGGCAGTGTTGAAGGTTTACAGGTTTGTCTCTGAAGATTAAGGCCGAAACCCTCAACACCTCAAGCTGCTAGGCGGCTCTTAGAGGGCGAACTCTTGGAGCGCAAGCTCTTCGGCGAGCCCTCCGGACTGCTCGCTGAATCATCTCCACCTGGTTTAGGGCCAGTTTCAGGGTTGAGGATTGAGATTTAGGGTTTAGGGTTCCTTGAAGGGCTTCTGTAAGGGATCTATAAGGGGTTTAAGGGTTTAGGATTTGAGGTCTAGGGCGTGTCTTCTTGTTAAGGCTGCTTATTCTGGGGGATCGATGGGGGTTTAGGGCTCAGGTGTTTTAGGTTTGATGTAGGGTTTAACAATCTCCACCTGGACTGGCTTGCTGCTGGTCTCCACGGTTTCGATGGGGTTCTTTACAAAAGGGATCTATCAGGGCATAGGCTTTAGGGATTGGAGGGCCAGAGTTTAGGGTGTAACGGGGCTTTGTGGTGTCTTTTCTTCGCGCATTCAGAGGCGGTTACACTTACTGTTGATGATATAAATCCTGCATTACCTTAAGGACCCCAAACTATGGGAATTACGTTATATTCATTATGATAGGCAATGCAGGATTTGTATCATCAACCGTAGTAGGGGTTGCAGGTGATACAGGTCCCGACAGGGCCTGCAAAGGATTTACATGGTTTGTGTTTCTAATCACTAAAACCTACCCTAAACCCTTAGCCCTACCTACACTAAAACCCTAAACCCAACCTTAACTTAAACCCCAAACCCTACGTAAACTTAAGACCTAAACCCTCCCCTAAACCGAACCGTAGGTAATTTAGACTTTGGGCTTAAGGAAAGTTAGGGTTCTGGAGACAAAGCTTCGCGAACCCAGGGTTCAGGAGAGGGTTTAGGGTTGAGGGTTTAGGGTTTAGGGGGTTCCGCTGCCGCCCCCTAAAAAATAAGGGCATCGCTGTCACAGTTTGGTGTTATATAATGTGGGAGCCCAAAAAGAGAAAGGGCAAAAGGATCCTTCTGGGGGACCTGGGTTTAGGGCTTGCAGAGTTCTTTAAAGCTTGCAGACTCTAGGCTTCGGGAGTTCAGGGTCTGAGGGAAGCTACCCAGAGGCCCCATAGTAGTTCCTTTTCAGGATTACTTGCAGGGTCGGGGCACTTAGTAAGTAGGTAGTAAGTAGACTTATAAGTATCCTAAAAGGGACCCTAATTGGGGTTATGGTACTTAAAAGTCCTTAAAATAACCAGTTACTAAGTCCCCCGACCCTCCAAGTAGCTCATAAGATTGATGAACCCCAAAAAAAGAACTACTATTGCGCCACAGGGTCATGTTAAGCGGTTCAAAGATCCACCCTTTTCAACACCAAACGCTTCACTCTCCCCTCAGCCCCGAATGCGGCCTCTCAAATCCTGGACTCTCGAAAGATAACCTTACGGTTTAGGGTTTAGGGCTTAGGATTTAGGGTTTAGGGTTTAGGCTTTAGGATTTAGGTTTTAGGATTTAGGGTTTATAGGGTTTAGGGTTTAGGGTTTAGGGCGCCATAAACCCAAAAGTCGCTTACTGAAACCCAGGGTATCGTGTATGGACTCGTTTGGTAGCCTTACAGTAGAAGCCAGAAAGTTGGAATATCATTATCGTAACCCCTTTAAGGTAAATTATAGGGGATCCTACCATTAATCCATATTCCAACTTTCTGGAGTTCCCTTTGGACCCAGACAAAGCCTCTCTATGAAGCCCTCATAACATTCTGTATACTGAAGCCCGAAGCCCGAATATAGGAGCCTTAACAATTAGAATAGGGTTTTGGGGCCCATTATAATTAATTAGAACAAGGAACCCCCCAAAATAGTAGTGGTGATTATTTCAGCCCCATTTAAAACCTAAACAACAGCTCTGATGCTGCAGAAGATCGAGAGCTTGAGTGCCATCGGTTGTTCCGAGGCGAGCTCATGGCGCAACGGAGGGATGATCCAGTGGCAAGCTTGTTATGGTTTAGGGCCAAAGTTTAGTGTTTGGGTTTCGAGAAAAGGTTTAGGGTTCAAGGTCTAGAGTTAAGGTTATGGTCAGGGCGGCTAGGGTTTGGGGGCTGCATGAGTTTTGCTCGGGAGGCCTTTGGAAGGGTCCGAGACTGCACGATGCTTCTGTGCTCTGGTCTTGGAAAGCCCGTGCGGTACATGCATGAACGTACAACGAGGGATCCTCGAGCCAGTAAGTTCAGGAAATCCAGGACCCTAAACCCTAAACCCCAAACCGCGGTGGGGTCAAGAAGTGCATGTACACAGGCAGCACAACTACGCACATGTGCAGTATGATCACCACCGCTGATGCAACTTTCATGCTCGACCTGTCATAACAACCTATGGTAAACTCGGAATGTCGGCCAGAGCGGCATCAGTCTCAAAAAGGCACAATGAGAACAATCCCGATAACAATACGAATAACAATAACGCTAGCAACAAGTATACTAGCAATAACAATAACGATACATTTACAATAATTGTAATAACAGGGTGTAAAGATAAGAAGACGATACTAATGCAGTCATAACAGAAATCAGTACACCAATATAAATAGATAGTTAGCCATGACAAGACTATTGTCCGAATAACAATACGAATAGCCAATAGGAAGAGGGATAATAGCAATAATAAAACTAGTAGCAACAGCACTAATACTCAGTGCAATGCCGAGTTGCGAAGCTTAGAACAGCCGGGAGTCTCTGCAGGTGCTGTCAGAACTCGAATCATGCATGCAGTTTCGGCTTGTTACCCGCGCAGAGCATGTCCGCAGGAGCTGGCAGAAGCAGCTTCGATGATCGTCGTGAAGCTGCACTAAGGACTCTGAAACCATCGAAACATCGTCAGTTCTGAGTTATCGTCATCAGGATTCCAGGAAGCGCCGCGGCAAGGGCCTGCGATTTCTATCTGCAAGTGGAGTAGAAGCAAACTCCAAGCCGTTCATTTGCCGAACTCTGTCTCTCTCTCTCTCTCTCTCTCTTTGTCTCTATCTCTCTCCTCTCTCTCTCTCTCTCTCTCTCTCTCTCTCTCTCTCTCTCTCCCTAGACCCACTACCCCAGGCCAGGCGTTTGGACCTGCCCTCAATCCTAGCGCAGCTCTGACCGACGGAATCTGGTTTGCTCAACTTCGGAAGTCCTCCACCACCATCGAACCCTTGAAGAACCCTTTCGGAGCCCTTCTAGGAATGGCCCTTGTGGAACCCCTGTAGAACCCACACAAAGCCCTTCTTGAAGCCCTTCTGTTTGTCTTATACTTGACTAGACTACACTACACTTACCAGTCTGCTCCAAGTCTATGCTTTGCTAAACTATGCTAAATTGCACTAGACTATACCGTAGAATACTGTACTGTACTAGACTATTCCATACTATATTTAATAAGGTACTATACCAGACCATTCTATACTATATAATAAGGTACTATACTGGACTAGACCGCTGAGCCCTTGTTGCTGGGCCTTACCGGCCGGGTCGAAAATCCGGAACTCCAGGATGCCGACTCTCTCCGCTCAGGAGGTGAAGCCTCGATAGCCACGGGGGTATACTTGGAGGTTCAAAGGAATTAGTGCGTAACCCGTTTCATTAAAGGGATCTAAAAGGGATCTATATATGTTTAGGGTGTAGGGACTTAGTTAGTAACTTACAGCGCTCCTTAAAGGGATCTAAAAGGGATCTATGTATGTTTAGGGTTTAGGGTATACTTGGAGGTTCCTGGGACTCAGTGAGTAACTTACAAGGCTCCTGAAAGGGATCTATATATGCTTAGGGTTTAAAAAAACAGGGCTCCTTAAAGGAATCTAAAAGGGATCTATATATGTTCAGGGTTCAGGGTATACTTGGAGGTTCCTGGGACTTAGTTAGCAACCTACAGGGCTCCTTAAAGGGATCTAAAGGGGATCTACATATGTTTAGGGTTCAGGGTATACTTGGAGGCTCCCGGGACTGAGTAAGTACAGATAAAAGTACCTTAGCTGGGGATAAAATCAATTGAAAGTAGATCTGCCTTGCTTATAACCTCAGTTACTAAGCACCATGAACCTTTTGGGGGGTTTAGGGGCATTGGGGTTTAGGGGTGGAGGTGTTGGGGGTCAGGGTTTTGGGAGTTTAGGAGTTGAGGGCATTTACGGGTTCAGGGGTTAGGGGTGTAGGGCTTAGGGTCTATACATAACCGCTCACTGAGAAACGGGTGTAAACATTGTCGAAAGCTTATGGTTTGGGTTCCAAAGAAACGAATTTCTGCAGAGCTGTTGTAGGGATTTCCTAGTTACCCCAAGGGTCCAAGTACCTAATGATCATATACTCTCCAAAATCCTAAACTACATAACTGCTATCCTAAAACCGAGTACCTAATTGCTGGGTCCTTTGGACCCTTGGGGTACGGGTTAGTTCAGGTAGCTACTTGGAAGGGCAGGGGACTTAATAAGTCGGTTATATAAGTAGGGTTATAATTGGGGTAACTCTATTTAGGGTACTTCTAACTCTACATATAACCTACTTACTAAGTCCCTGAACCCTAAACCCTAAACCCTCTAGTACCCCTATAGAGCCCTTTAAAGGAACCCTTATAATCCCCTTTAAAAACGAGCCCCTACTTACTAAGTCCCCTGCCCTTCCAACCCTAAACCCTAAACCCTAAACCCTAAACCCTAAACCCAGACCCGAAATACGATCCACGAACCCTAAAGTCGAAAGCCCAACCCCCAAGGGTCGAAAGGACCCAATAATTAGGGTTTAGGGCTCCTTTAAGGGGGTCTATAAGGTTCCTTTAAAAGGGCTACTTAGAAATATTATTAAATTTTTGGTTAGTATAATCCCCAAGAAACAGCTAAATTTGTAATTTTTGCTAGGGTTCTAAGTTCAGTATAGTATAAGGTTCCTTCAAAAGGGTTACTAGAAGGGTTCCGTTATATGGGCCTTAATAATTAGGTACTCGGTTTTAGGATAGTAGTTATGCAGGTTAGGATTTTGGAGAGTAAAGGATATTTGGGTACTTGGACCCTTAGGGTAAAGCCCAAAGCCTAAAGCTCTAACTAAGCCCGAACCGCAAAACCCTAAACCGCACCCGAAACCCCCATCTCGGGTGCTAAATGCTAAACTTAAGCCCTTGAAACTTGTAGTTCCCTTATAATCCTTACAGATCCTGTACGGGACCCTGATAGCATTAAAGTACCAAAAAAACCCTAACTCTTGTAGTTCTCTTAAGGATCCTTTATAGAAGAACGCTTAACTAGGATGCCCATAGCCTAGGAATAAAAGAAGGCTCCCTTTTTGGTATTTGGTACCTTAATTACAAAGGAACCTAGGACTACAAAAAGGGAATAAGGGTACTATCCTCGTTTTTAGGGTCGTTACAGAACCTAAAAGCACATCCCTATAAAATGCTTATTCCTATGTGCTTTTGGGGTCCCTAACTTTGAAGCAACGCTCAGGAGAAGGCTCCAGGTTCCAAACGGCAGCCTGCAGCCGTAAGTGCCTCGGAGTCGTTCCGGCGGAGCGTCGTAGCGAAAGGTGTAGCGGCTTCCGAAAATTAGGGGTGCCTTATTTTGGGGCCCTTATAAGAGGATCCTACTATTTAGGATACTATATTAGGGTCCCCTACTTTCGGAAACTCCCATGTAGGGTTTGAGGTACGGATTAGAGTTTCGGGGTTTGGGGATTAAGCCTTTAGTGTAGGATCTAGCATTTAGGGTGTAGGAGGCCCAAGAAACAAGATGTACCAAGTGCTGCCACGCATGTCACGATGATAAGAACGTGCCATCAAGCTGTCGGAGGCTTCAAAGGTGGGATGAAGGTAGGTGGGATTAAAGATCCCTTATAAAAGGACTCTTACTAACCAGTGGTTTTGGGGTTCCCTGGGCTCTTTAGCTCCTTATTCAATAAGGATTATCATCATCTCTGGCTCCTTAGCTCCTCCAATATCGAAGGACTATCGAAGGTTAGCTTATTTGGGAATATCCCACCTACCTTCACCCCACTTTTTAAGGCCTCGGAAGCTGGGCTCGGACCTCCTTACACTTCGCCAAAGACTCCAAAACCCCCTAATTCAGGAATCGACATTATAGCAGAAACCCCAAATAAGATTTAAGGTATATCACATAATTCAGGAATCTACATTCTAGTAGAAACCCCGAATAAGATTTAAGATACATCCCTTAATTGAGGAATCTGCATTATGGTAGAAACCCCGAATAAGATTTACGGAATATCCCTTAAACTAAGGGTGTTGGAAGATCCGGGTCTCCGATTCGAAAGATGACCGTGCCTCAACGGTTTAGGGTTTAGGTTTTTTTTGTTTGCTGGGGTTGGTGCGGACCGGGAGTTCCCATGGTAAATCGTTCACAGAACCAACCCACATATGGCTTTAGGATTAGGGCCCTCATGGAACCCCTATGAGAAGACCCACGTGCAAATCGCAGTGTCCAGGTGCTTTGCCGTTTCTCAGCAGGTCTTTCTTAACTTCCGAATCTGATTCCCTTCAGATTCGACTATGACCATACGCTTCTGCCACTCATGCTGGGATCAAAGAGCTGCTGCGTGCATCTGACTATCGGACAGCTGTGGGAGAACGCATCCTCAGGGTTTAGGGTTGCGGTTAGAATGCTAGGGCTGTAGTCTCGGGCGACCCCCAGCTTTCGCATCAGCGTTGCTGCGTGAAATGCTTGAAAAAGCACAGGCTGCACATGGCGACACGCCTGAGGCGCACACACGAAGCCCGCACGCACCTTGCAAGACCCAGGCGCTAACCAAACAGTCATTGAAAATTCCCAAACAAACCCTACACCCTCAATCCCTAAGCCCATAACCCTGATCCCGACAACCCCCAAGTCATGAATCCCTAAACCCCACGGCCTAATCACCGATAAAACCAAATCAGAGGATGCAACAAGACAAGTGAGTAATCGCACCTCCTCTCGAAGATAAAAATCTACAAAACTAACTCCCCACCCAGTCTGGCCACTGTTGTCACTTGGCTGGTAGATCAAGTTCGCCGGTCTACTCTTCGCCTCCCAACGCCAAGGGTCGATTTGCGAATGGTACATTGGGTGGTGGACGATGCGAAGTGATGAAGTAAGTTTTTAGGGTTTAGGCGTCTGGACCCTGGAGCAACGGCGGCAAGTGGGAGCCACATGGTTGACTGTGAGGCTTCCATGCCTCTCACGGCTGGCGAAAAAAAGCGACCCCATGCAATGCATCCCAGGAGCTTGACATCCGCCTGACATTCACATTCAGCCTGGTGCCAGTCGTGCACCTAAACCCTAAACCCCAGTCCATCTTTGGAACAAAATACACCGTCAACCCTTCAGCCCTGAACCGTTGACCCTTAAATTCCAGCTTAAATCCTACACCCTAATCTTCGGAAACTCTAAACCCTAAACCCTTTGTAGAACCCTTATAGATCCCTTTCAGGAGCCCTTGTAGGATCCCTTTAAGGAACCCTTGTACACCCTAGAATCGCCCTAGGACTCTGAGCTCCGAACCCCCAAAACTTGCCAGAACCCTTCTAGAACCCTCACAGAACCATTTCTTAAACCCTTATAAGGTAAAAGCCAGAAAGTTGGAATATGATTATCCTAACCCTTCTATGGTAAATCATAGGGTATCCTACCATGAAACCATATTCCAACTTTCTGGAGTTCCCTGTAGAACCCTAGAGCCTTAAACCCAAAATACTATAAACTAAAGCCTAAACGCTAAAGCTTAAACCCTTAAAGGCCTTAACCTCAAACTCTAAACCGAGCCGTTAAAGGAAGCCTTAAAGGAACCCCACCAGGGTACCATTTAAGGGAACCCTTAAAGGAACCCGGAGCTTTAAAGCCCAAAGCTTCTGAGCCGAGGCACGGCCTGCCTTGCCGTGCGACCATGCAACCGGGCCTCCAAGTCCTGGAAAACAGGTTGGGGTTTAGGGGTTTTAGGGCTTAGGGTTGTAGAAGGTGTGGCCTGGAGGCTGTGTGCCGGCTGGGCCGGGTGTGGGCTGGGCCGGGTGCGGGCTGGGCCGGGTGTGGGGTTTATGTAGGGCCTTGAGGGTTTGGGGTTTAGGGTTTGGGGTGTAGGGTGTGGGATTCAGGGTTTTGCCTAAAGGTCCTGGAACGCTGAGACTAAGGAGGACGTAAATTAAATGTCCACAAGGTTTATATAAGGTTTAGGGCTTAGGGTGTACTATAGGGGCTTCAATAGTTAGAATAGGGTTTTGAGGCCCATTATACTATAAACATAGAAGGAACCCCCAGCATAGTATTGGTAATTAATTGTTATAAGGCCCCTATACTAAATCCTCATAATGGCCCTTTTAAGGGACCCCCAAACTAGTATTGGTAATTATTTCGGCCCCTATGTTAGAGTACCCTTATAGATCCCTTATAGAAACCCTTATAGACGCCTTGAAACGAACCCTAGGAACCCTGTAGGACGTAACTTGGAGGATCGTGGGACTTGATTAGCAACTCACAGGGTTCCCTACTTAGAGGATCATGGGACATAGTAACTAGGGATATAACTAAGGTAACTATACTTACAACTCCAATTAGAGTACTTTTAACCTTACTTACTAAGTCCCCCGACCCTCCAGGTAAGGGGTTCCTTAAAGGGATCTATAAGGGACTTCTGTGGGTTTGGGGCTTAGGAGGTTCTGGTCACTAACTTAAAGGGCTCCTTAAAGGGATCTATAAGGGACTTCTAAGGCTTTAGAGCTTGGAGGTTCCTGGTCTACTTGGAGGATCCTGGGACTTAGTAGGTATCTATTTTATAGCGTTATATGACTTATATGTACCAACCAAGTCCTCCGACCCTCCGGGACAAAGGAGGACGCAAGAAAATGTGAGGGGCCTGAATAAATGCAGATACGATTTTGGGGTTCCCTTCGTTAATGAATATATTCTGATGAACCCCAACACCCTATTGTAATTAATTGGAATCCACTATATTCAGGACTTACGAGGTTACCTTCCGGGACTCCTTTATGAGGTAAATTATGTAAAGGGTTCGGGGTGTTGTTGGTTTAGGGTTTCAGGGCTTTTGGGTTTAGAGCTTGAGAATAAATCGGGCCTGCTCCAACGTCAAACAGCCTTGGGTACTGTGTCACCCGGGGAGCGGGCTCGAGACATGAAAAATAACTATAAAGCAGGAACCCCCAAAATAGTATTGGTAATTATTGAAGCCCCTATACCAAATCCTCATAATAGCCCTTGAACCCTAAACCCTAACCCTTAAACCCCGAAACCCCGAAATCCCCTAAATCCTAAACCCTGAACCCCTAAACCCTAAACCCCTAAACCCCTAGACAACAAAAAAACTCTAGACCTCAAGCCATTTTGCAACGCTTCAGCTATGGCCAGCCTTCATCTTGGCAGCCAGGCCATCTTCCGGGAGAGCCTGCAAAGAAACTAATGGGTTCCCTTAGTTTAGGGTTTCGGGTTCCGGTAAGGGTTACTATGAAGGTTACACTATAGGGTTACTATGAGGGCTTAGGGTGTTAGGGTTTAGGGTTTACGGTCTAGGGGTTCCTTTATCGGGTTCGGTTCTCCATGGTTTAAGATTTAGGCTTAGGGTTAAGAGGCCTTCGTAGGGTTTTAGAGGGCTTTGCAAGGCTTTTGTAGGGCTCCGAAATATTCAAGGCTCCTTCAAGCGCGTTGTTTTTTGAAGAGTTACTACAAGGGCTTAAAGGTCTTAGGGCACTACTTGTAGGATTTTCGGGCCTTAAATCTGCAAAGCTTTCAGGTCAGAACCCTAAACCCTAAACCACTAGATCTCACCAAACGTTTAAGCCTCGACCTGGGTGGGTCGAGGGTTTCGGGCATAGACGTAAGCTTAGGGCCTCGGGTTTGGCATTCAAAGGTTCGGATTATCCGGGCCTTAGAACACTTACCTGTTTCAGGGACTTACGTAAAGAAGTCATAGAGAGGAGACTGAAAACGGGTTCAGGGGCTAGGGTTCAGGGATCAGTTCAGGGCAGGGTTACTGTAGGGATCTATGGTGGTCTGAATGTCCAGCACACCAAATCTCGCAACACTCCCGGCCTCGGCATGCATCAAGGCCTGCCTGAGTTGCATCGAACATGGGTAACCCTAAACCCTAAATCCTGAATCCTAAACCCTAACCCCTGAATCCTAAACCCTAAATCCTAAATCCTAAATCCTAAACCCTAAACCCTAAATCCTAAACCCTAAACCCTAAACCCTAAATCCTGAACCCTAGACCTTAACCCCTGAATCCTAAACCCTAAACCCTAAATCCTAAACCCTAAACCCTAAAGCACTGCCTCTTATAGTGCCGTTGCCGTTGCCCGTCATAGGGTTTCCGAGTCCAGGGCCGATGTTTCGAAACTGTAGGGCTTCGAGAGTATACGGGGATCAAGACGAGATGCCAGGGTCCTTTAAAGGGTTCCTTTAAAAGGGTTCTTATAAGGGGTCTACAAGGGGTTACTATAAGGGCTACTATACCCTTAGTTGCTAAGTTCATAAGCCCCCGAAAGTGGACACTTTCAGTGTTATAGTGGGTAGTATTATCCCGAAAGGTGTGAAGTGTATCCGCTCAGCTACTAAGAAGTCTCTTGTGAGCATGTCTGGTGGTTCGTCTGAGTCTTCTTCAACCCTTTCATGCACCTAAGGGATTCGAGGAGAAATTGCGAAGCACTCGTTTCAAGGTTGCTGTTGCCCACCTGATGTGGGCAGGAATTCTGCACGAAACGCCACACCACAAGCTGCAGCCCCAGATGCTCCGGAAAGAGTGCAGCAGCGCACAGTGCCAGCGCCTCACTAGCAAGGTCAATATAGCTTACGCATGCTTAGAGGGTGAGGGTTTGGGAATGCTTTGAACAGCCATCCAGAGGTCTTGGCTGACCTGCAAATTTCTGGGGTTTCCGAAAACAGCGGTACCTTATTTTGGGGTCCTTATAATAAGGATCCTACTATTTAGGGTACTATATTAGGGTCCCCTAATTTTCGGAAACTCCCATGTGCTCTCGGATTCAATCGGCTTCAGCCATGACGTGGGCATCTGGGTTTCGCACGCGCAGATCCGCCTGTCCATCTTCCAGCTCAGTACTTGGAGGATCATGGGGCTTAGTAAGTAATGTTATAAGTACCCTAATTGGACTTATAAGTACAGTTACCTTATTTATAACCCTAGTCACTAAGTCCCATGACCCTCCAAGTACCGCAGCGTTAAGAGTGGAAAGCTGCCGTAATGACAAGCTTTTCTCTTTTTGGGGCTTTCTAGGCCTTGAGATTTAAGGTTTCGGGATTACAACTTAAGGTTTAGGGATTAAAAAGTCAGGGTTTAGGGAGTACAGTACGACCCTAAGCCCCAAACACTCAACCCTAAAGCCGGGTTCACTCTGACCGCTGCAGACTTCCAGAATCATGCAAAGCAGTCAGAGTCAAGGAAGGCCTGGTTCTTTGTAAGGAATGGGTTTTAGGGACTACTTTAAGGGACGATCATAACCCTAAACCCCTAAACCCCCAAACCCGTAAACCCCTATACTAAACCCTAAGCCCTTAACCCTTTGAGGGACTATCAGAGGGACCCACCAAGAACCAGGGAGTCAAGGCGGGCCTGCAGGAGCCTCGCCTCAGGACCAGCTCCACCTTGGGGAAATCAGGAGCTTTAGGGACGGTTTAGGGCTTTAGGGGTTCACGTGTTCCGGGGTTTAGGAGTTTAGGGGTTTAGGAGTTTAGAGTTTAGGGATTTGGGGTCAGGGGTTCAGGGGTTTAGGGTTTAGGGTTTAGGGATTCAGGTTTAGGGCTACTGTCCTGGTACCTGCTTCCCGTACAGTACCATCTCAAGCAGCTTGCACCGCAGCCATACCGCCCTTCTTTTTCACTCTTTCACTCCACATTCAAACAAGAGCTCCTGCAAGATTCGCAATGTCCAAGAACGGGCCTACGCCGGGTGAGTACCACGCAGTGGTTGGTGGCTACACCGGCCGCAGCCGGTGCGGCATTAAAACAGACGTCCCTAGTGTCACTGGCAGATTGGCAGGCTAAGGCGGCGGAGTGCCCGTCCCAACCTGGGCAAGTGATCATGTCTGGTTGCGGTTTAGGGCTTACCTTACGCCGGAATAACCTACCTTTTTAGGGTTCCTTCTTATGACTTCCTTATATAAGTCCTCAAAAAGGTGGGTTACATCGCCGCAGTATTCCGGCTTAGGGCTTAGGGTATAGAGTTGTTGGTTATGTTTTTGGGAGGGCAAGAACTGCTGAAAAAGGCCGACATGTGCAGACGAGCTGCGGAGCGAGCTGAGCATAGGAGGGACCATCATGTTCTTACTGGTGCTTAAGGTAGACTGGAGGAGGAATATAAGGACGACTACGGTTTAGGGTTTAGGGTTTAGGGATACTATTCTAAGTAAACCCTGAACCATGAACCCACTTCCCCCTTAAAGCACCTACAAGGACACCTATAAAGGATCATTATACAGAGGGGTAAACCAGGGACCACTATGAGGATCCAGTCTCCCACTCTCCCCTTAAGCACCAGTTGTCTTTATGCTTGCCCTGCCAACTCCTTGATCTCGGAGACCCAGAGTTCGCCGAGTTTCTTTGCCTCGCGAGACGGGTTTAGGGTTTAGGGGTTTAGGGGTTTAGGGGTTTGGGGGTTTGGGCTTTAGGGGTTTAGGGGTTTAGGGGTTCAGGGGTTTAGGGGTCTAGGGTTTGGGGTTTCATCAGACTCAGGTCTGTCAAGAACGAAAAGAAGGGAAGAGTAAGTCCTAGCTATTCATGAGGTCTCAACCTGCTACGATAGGGTTCAGGGATGACTAAACTAGGTTTTGTGATTAAAAAACTACTAACTGTAATTATAGAGGAACTCTTATAAGCCTCCTGTACCATAGCCCTTTCTCCCCTGCCCCTCTCCCGTCGCCGCACCTCGCGAATCAACTCCGGATCCGCCACGAAGGTGGCGTAGAGGGAGCCGTTGTAAGATATGACCTAGGAACCCAGAGCCTCCAAAACCCATTAATTAAGGACTATACCTTAAATCAGGTAAGGGATCCTGTTATAATTTAGGGATATTTTTTTGGTATATTCCTTAATTAAGGGGTTTTGGAGGCTCTGGGAAGACTAAGCCTAAGCCCTACGCCCAAAAACTGAAAGTCTAGGAGCTAGGCAGCTTAGGCAGATCCCTAAACCCTAAATCCTAAACCCTAAAACTCTACACCCTAAGCCGTGGAAATGCCTGAACTTCTGGGACTCGCGAAGATAAAGGAGGCTCTTCTGGGGGGCAGGGGTCTCCATCATCAGGACACTACTATTTACGAAGTGTCTTTTGAATCCTATCTTTTCTGACTATACCAGATCTGTTTGGCTCTGAAAGCGCGTCCAGTAACCGACACCTGGGACATGACGTTCGCGATGACCTGCAAATGGGAGCCCGATGCTAGGGATTAGGGCTTGGGATTTAGGGTGCAGGGCTCGCGGTTCAGGGCTCAGGGGAGGAAGGAGCCTGATTAAGAAATCTTGCCTTCTGCTGAGGGCTTGGTTTACGTAAGGCTTAGGGCTCTTAGGTTCATGCATGTTCATCGAATACGGATCTTACAGCCTTGGGCTTCTCAGAACAAGGTTCCTACAGTGTTCTTGTTGTTGAGCTGAGAGCGAACAATGCTCTTGTCGGTGAGGCTACAAGAAAATCTCCCACCTCTTCGGAGTTTGCGAGCTATGTGTCGAACATCCAGCGGCATTAATGGAGCATAATATCAGTTTGGAGCTCGGGGTTCAGGTTTTGCATGTTTTCCCGCGGTCCCCCCTGCAGCTGTTCAGGAAAGTACATCATCACGCTTCCTAGGAGCTTAAAGCCCCAAACCCTACACTCCCAACCCCTAAGCCCCAAACCCTACACTCCCAACCCCTAAGCCCCAAAGCCCTAAACCCTTAACTTCAATTTTGTGGAGGCATCCTTGGTGCTGTGGGGTTAAGGGTTTAGGCTTTCAGCTTCGTTCTTGTTGCTTCCTGGGTTAAAGGTTTGGAGTTTAGCGTTTGCTAAGGGCCGTTTTCCACAATTTCAGGGATTAAGGTTCAGACATATGATACAGATGGCCCTTTCGGGCAAGGCTGGACAGGGCTTCCAAAAACAAACCCGACGGTCTTCCAGAGTGCCGATGACTGAAAGTAATCACTTCGCGAACAGCGCCTTTGGCTCGTGCCCCTGACACCCTAAACCCCAAAACCCTAAACTCTAAACCCCAAAACTCTAAACCCTAAACCCTAAACCCCAAAACCCCAAAGCCCCAAAACCCCAAAGCCCCCAACCCCCCCCCCCCAAAAGAAAAAATGCTAAAAACTATCCTAAGGAGTGCTCAGCTGAGGGCCCGACAAGGGACAAACCTTGAAGAGTCTGCCCATCCTTCCGTAGTAGTAATCGTCGTAGCAGTAGTAGTGGCAGAAGTCGTAGCTGCCGTCGTCGTAGAAGTGGTAGTAGTGCTAGTAGTGGTAGCAGTCGTAGTAGTAGTAGTAGTAGTAGTAGTAGTAGTAGAAGTAGTAGAAGTAGTAGTCGTCGTCGTCATAGTAGTGGTAGTTGTTTTTGCTGTTGTTGTAAGTAGTGGTGGTGGTTGTGGTGGTGGTGGCGGCGGCGGTGGTGGTGGCAGGCACCCGCCTACCAACTACACTTGCTCTTAACCATGTTAAGACAACATCCAGTTGACTCGGTATCCACAACACACTCGTCATGTAGGATCATTTTGGACTTGCTTTTGGGGTGGGGGGCCGGGGAGGGGGGGAAGGATGACGACATTGTACGCAGACACCCCGAACCATATCTCCAGAAGAGCCTTTTTACTCGCTATGTACCGGCACGTTCCTGATGTCGGACCACTTTAGTCACCAAACCACTTTCGGAGGGCTGTCGGCAAAAACTCGAAATTGGGCTGGGGGAAGCATTCTTCGGGGATGATCACGACACTGTTTCGCAGACACCCCGAACAGTATCTGCACACCCTGGCGCGCACACACCACACACCACTTCAAAAACAAACCCTCATATGCCCAGGTCTGGGCTTTAGGGGTGTTGAAACCTTCCTTTGCCGTGTCCGACCACCTGTGGTTCAGCAGCTTCTTGCCTGTTGAGTTTGCAACTCGCAGTTGTAGGGCCTGAATCTCTGCAACTTCACCGGCTGTGACAGTTGAGGAAATTGAGCCTCTTCAACTTCTGCCACTGTCACAGATAAGAAGCCTGAGCCCCTGCATCTTCTGCAACTGTCGCAGTTAGAGAACCTAGAAGCTGCCACTGCCCAGCCCGGATGGGGGTAAAACTGGCATTTTGGACCAAGCCGCGACCGCAGTCTTTTCTTCGTGTGATGGAAGTGTGGAAGGGCTTAAACTGTTGTTTGGGAGCACGCAGCGACCGACCGCACTTATTCTTGAAACTCGACGGGGAAGAAACTGCAAAAACCACCGGTTGTCGCACAGTACGACAACGTTGTAATTACCGTGCAGAACGCAGGTGCTCCCCAGAAGGTATTAACACTGCTAAAACCTGAAGCGCAACGTCTCATAAGCATCAGAAACAAAATGCCTGCTGTACGTGGAGGTGCTCGCCAACAACCCCTAAAGCTCAAATCTCGGCGTAGGAGGGTTTGCTTTGGAAGTAGTGCGTGGTGTGTGCACGCTCGGGTGTGGAGATACTGGTCGGGGTGTCTGCGAAAACAATGTCGTCATCACCCCCGAAAATAGCTTCCCCCTATCCAAGTTTGAGTTTTCGCAGAAAGCCCTCCGAAATCCCAAAGTCGAGTTCGCAAAGTCCAGAAGTAGGTTTGGCGACTTTATAAGATGGTCCGACATCACGTATAAGTACTGCAAATACAGGGCAAAACGGCTCTTCTGGAGATTGTCCGGGGTGTCTGCGTAACACTGTCGTCATCATCGTCCCCCCCTTCCCCCTCCCCAACCCGATCCCAAATGTGCATGAATGCAACCATCATCACCATCAACAACATCATCATCTGCATCATCATCTTTCAACGTCATCATCAGTGTCCTCATCAGCAGTAATAGTAATCGTAATCGTAATAGTAATAGTAATAGTAATAGTAATAGTAATAGTAATAGTAATAGTAATAGTAATAGTAATAGTAATAGTAATAGTAATAGTAATAGTAATAGTAATAGTAATAGTAATAGTAGTAATAGTAATAGTAATAGTAATAGTAATAGTATATAGTAGTAGTAGTAATAATAGTAATAGTAATAGTAATAGTAATAGTAATAGTAATAGTAAGTAATAGTAATAGTAATAGTAAGTAATAATAATAGTAGTAAATAGTAATAGTAATAGTAATAGTAATAGTAATAGTAATAGTAATAGTAATAGTAATAGTAATAGTAATAGTAATAGTAATAGTAATAGTATAGTAATAGTAGTAATAGTAGTATAGTAGTAGTAGTAGTTAATAGTAATAGTAATAGTAATAGTAATAGTAATAGTAATAGTAATAGTAATAGTAATAGTAATAGTAATAGTAATAGTAATAGTAATAGTAATAGTAATAGTAATAGTAATAGTAATAGTAATAATAGTAATAGTAATAGTAATAGTAATAGTAATAGTAATAGTAATAGTAATAGTAATAGTAATAGTAATAGTAATAGTAATAGTA